TGCGCATGGTGACGGGGAAAGAACTGCTCTAACCGTTCTGACTGGGGAGGCGAGACCGATAGTGTTATCTGCTGCAACCTCTTGTGGACTTGTTTCTGGAGCTCTTCTTCTAATCGGGTCAATCGATGCTGTTCTTGTAGATGCCTTTCAAATTTCAAACGATCATCTTTGTCATCAGCCTCCAAGCATTGGCAGGTTCCAAAGGTCGAGCCGCAAAAATAACAGAAGAAGTGACCGCAGAGGCACCTAAGTAGGTTCGAAAAGGCCTAGTTAGTAGGTATATATGCCTAGAGGGATGGCGTGGGTGGATGAGGTTATCACCATGTGTAACATCAAATGCATATGGCGTGTAAACTCACATCATGCGACTACATCCATCTGCTCTCTCGACCATCGCGGTACAACGTGAGCACCTCCTCCATTGCTTGTGCTTGGCTAATTTCTCCAACGCGACATCTGAGTCCGAATCCCTGCACTTCGTCTCTTTGGGGTTGTGCGCCTTCTTGCATTTCTTGCAAGTGATAGTTTCGCATTTGTCGCAAATCACAGCGTGCCTCCCATTGCCCATGAAGTCTTCTTCGAGCAGAGAGCTACATTGTGGTTGGGCGCACCACAGAGGGTTCTTCAGACTGCGTGCGTAATTTGCTTCTCTGTACTTCTCCAGAAGGTCTTCTGACTGTGTCCACGCGACGTCGTCCGTCGTGATGGGTTTATGGTGGCATTTCGGTGGCCAGATGGTCCTGTCCCGCAGGCCGGCTTCGATAAACATGATCAAGCAATCCCGACAAAAACCACATCCACATGGAAGCACCCGGGCCTGCGGCCTAGGCCTTTCGAGACACGCCACGCAAAGAACGACATCTTCGAAGAGATCCATGGCATTTGTTTATGTCCGTCCTCACTCCCAGCTCGATAGGTAATCAGCACCGACGTTGACGCTGAGTGGCCTCGAGGAGGTGGAGAGTTAGTTGTTGGCGGCAGTTTTCGAAGTCAATAATACAGGAAAGAATAGCAAGTATAGAATACGCTATGTAGTGTTGAATATATACATGTATGTATAGGGAAATCCTCTAGTAGCCCTAGATGAATATTTTGACGGTATAATACGATCGATATTTGTGTTTCGCAAGGAGAACCTTCATGTAGGTACATGGATGTTGGCGGATCAGACTGGGGCACAACGCCCCTGCCTGCTATCAACCATTTCCTGTCGACTTCCTTCCAGCCAACATCAGAATACAATAGATAGAAGCAGCTACCAGGTATCACGCACATGTATGTACATCTTAGCTTATAGATTAAAGATTAAAGTTCATTCTACGGCCGTGTTACCCATGTACATTTGTACTGTTCATTGACAGCTTCGAAGGTTACACAGCGCTAGCCTTCTCTTATTGGTCGAAACTAGACCCAGTTTCCCGAAATGGAAGTAGTAATTGACCAGGGTATCTACCACCCATCCACCCTGCCACCATGCTTCTTCAGAACAATCTGACCAGAGTCAGTCGAAAGGAAACATGTATTTGAAATAATATTTATATACTCGTCTGATCTGAATGCTCGTAAAAAGAAGAGTAATGATTTGTTCAGGCTAGATAAGAGTAAGATTAGAAGGTAGATATTAGATACCTGGGAAGTAGCCACCTACCCACTACCCAATGGCGATGATCAATGCTACCTACGTACCTGGGCCTATGTAGGTAGAATTATTTATCACTTGTATTAGGCACCTAGCATGCGTATAGATTTATGCCATATCCCATATCGGTATTGTTCGTAACACACAAGTCGAGTCTAGATCATTGCTCATCTGTTTTTGGGGAGGCCAACTAATCTGCTCTCAGCGATTACTCGCAATGGCAGTAGCTAGTCACGTTAGTTGCAGCTTAAGTCTGAATATCAGCCCCTTCTAGTCTCGTAATGCTGGCCAGAACACGTTTATAATAAGTCCCGATGCAATGGAACCGCAATAGCTCCCGTATATAGTAGATATGTCCGACAAGGCTCCCTTATATATAAGGACAACATCGTCTTCTTAGATATTTAATAGAGGTGTGTCTGAACAATTGTGCGATATTTAAGGAATTCGTATTTTCGTCAACATGGGTGCTTCTATTTCAGCCGTCTACGAAGATGTGTCGGCAGCCGAAGAGCAAGAGAGACAGAAAGCGAGACAAGACCTCGAAGTCCTTCAGAAAGCTGTCCAGTACAAATTAGATCAATTCGAAAACAAACTGCACGAGTAAGAATCAAGCTTACTACATACAATGCTGCCTTTTGGAGTTAACCGAGTTTTTTTTTTCTTCAGGAGATTCCTCAATCCGGATTCGGTAGCTAAAACTCAAGTTCCTGGCCTTCGTGCCTTGCGCATGTCGCGGTATTCGAATGTCGGCATTAGAGGCGCTGTAAGTAGAATGACCCCCTTTACTCAGAGACCAGCGCTAATTGCTCCCATAGCCCGAGGAAAATGTCGCGGGGGCAATCGACAGCTACCTTGGTACCGGCAAGACTCGACTCAATAATGAAGCTTCCCTCAAAGACGGCTTCAAGGTAGGACTCCCTAGTCTACCTATGCCCCATCGGCGGAAACAGTTGAATCAGTGATCTAACAGGTTGATGCAGAAAATTGTCTCGGAGGCACTCAAAGAGATCCTCTCGACCACGGAGGCTGGAGAGCATGAGAAGGATGCCTTTTTCGTCTATGTACAGCATAACAGTGTTATACGCTTAGGCGTCATGGTATGTTGCTACACGATACTCGTAGTGTTCTCCGCTTCAAGCTAACTCGACTTGCGCAATAGCTCTGGCGGTGGAATTTCATCGGAAAGGGGTTCAGTGACAAATACGAGAACGTACTAGGCTGTAAGTCGACGAAAAACATATGGAAGTTCTCGATGTGGGCAATACTAAACCTTTCCAGACGTAATCTGTACCTCCGTAGTAGACGTCAGCGCTCTGAAGACGGCGTAATTCGTCTTCTTGATTAGTGAATACGCCGGCAGGTTAACGATGTCATCACGAATATTGGCAAATTGCTAATTATCTGCAGGTGATTCCGAAGAGGAGGTGCTTAAATACATCGAGACAATGAGTAGGATCTACAGCTGTGCGCGAAAGTTGAAACAGAGCCAACAACCTCTTCCTCTACCAGTACCGATAAAGGATGATAATTAGAGGTAGATATATCACATGGAGCATACGAGAAGGAAATAGGGATAGAGTCAAATGATGCCACAGCAGTTAATTGAACTAAACTATAGAGATATTCTGGGTATTATTACAAAGCTCTTTCCGTCCGTGTCACCTATTACTCCCAAGACATGGATGTCGAGTTCACAGTAAACATGGTAAACATAAGCAATAGCTAAGGCATCAGTCACAGTGCTAACGCCTGGCTAGCTACATCTGGTAGTAGACAACAGGGGAATGTGGCTGGTCGTGTTCCTCCTTTTCTTCGTAGCCTGTTGTCTTGGGTGGCATCCTACCGTTGATAACAGACGCTGGATTCCCCATGACTTCGGCGTATGCAGGGACGTCGTCCAACACCACGGCACCTGGTGCGACAACAGCTCTCTCTCCAATGGTGACGCCAGGACCGATCACCGCGGATGCCCCAATCCAGGCAGCTTCGCCTATTGTTACTGGCAGGCCCGTGAGTTCACGGTAGCCCTTCGCCAGGTTCTCAATACTGGCTTGCGCTGGAGGGGGTCCGACAGAGACGATAGTGACGTTCGGTCCTATGCTGCAGTATTGCCCAATCTTGATATCTGCGACCGGGGTATCGACGATCTTGCATCCGTGTTCGATAACGGCGGTATGGTGGATGGAGACGCGCAGGCCGTAGTCCATGAAGAATGGTGTCTGGATTTGCGAGGGCGCGGCGTGATGGACGGCGCTTGTTGGGAGCATGTTCATGAACAGGCTCCCTCTTTCAATGGAGCTAGTGTCCTCGTCAGTCTTGTTGTATTCAGCGCAGGCCTTCGCACATTGCAAACGTACTCGTCTGAATTCGCGTCCGTTCGGACTAAATGCGACGACAATATTGCCCGGTTTAGGACGTCGGGTGGATCGAGATTTTTTCCTAGAATTTAACATCTTGTTTTTTATCTGCTGGGAAGTCAGTTACAGATGGAAATACGCTATGGTCGCCTCTCGCTCTCGGATTGTCGGTCTCTGTGCCGAAAGCTTTCGGGTCCTCTGGTTCTCCTACAGGATAGGATTCGAAGGATGGTTGTGACTTGTGGCTCCGAATTATATACAGCTGTCTTGGGTCTAGGCGAGTCCATGGCAAATGAAAGCCTCTGACGAGAAACCACAAGGGCATTGTTTGTTCACGCAAGCAAACCAAGCCAGGAATCAAAGAGGGGAAGTCCTACACATTGTGTGATTGTTTTCATGTGGAGAAGTGGTGACAAAGGGGTTGTCGAGAAGGAGTGAGAATGGAGGCTTGTGAAGAGTCTTTTGTCCAGTCCCCTCTTGAAAGACGGACAATGCCGTCAGGCTGGTTCCTCTGTGCTCAGATATTATGGAAATCGAAAACTGTAAGACTCACAACTGGCAGAAGGCAAGTACAATGTGAATACGGTGGAAGTTAGCATACATTCGCTGCACTAAGTCCTTTGCTACTTACCCGAACAACCGTGTACGAGGTAGGAGCACGCCAGCAGGTCCATGCCCAGAATGAAGCCTTCTATGAGCTATTTTCATAAAGACAGTCTAGCCCCTAACCACATAGTCACGCGTAACTGGGTGCTGTGTTCCCATTGGCCATGAATTCATAATACCTAGCCTTCCGGGAAGGTGCCGAGCCCAGATACACTGGTAATATGCGGAGCTGTACCGGTCTACAGCCCGGTTCTTTCATCAAAGGAGGGAGCTACCGGCCTGAAGTGGTACGGTTGCTCATAGCATGGTGCCACTGGGAGGCAATCAGAGGACTTATGTATCTAATTATTAGCTAGATCTCTCACAGCAAGGAGAAAGTAGGGGCTCAAACAAAAGCCTGCATGGAGTAGTGGTTAACTCATCGGCATCCGACCTAGCAGTCAGATAGCCGGGTACCCGGGTTCGAATCCCGGTGCAGGTCATCTTTTTCTTATCCTTTTCTATTTTTTTTATGTTCATTTTATTCTCCCCGAATACCAGTTATTAGATACTTGAGGAACTCCTTCAAGCCCCTAGAAATCCTAGATTCTATTTTACCTACTCCTTTTTAAGTTCGGTATTTTATTATTGCCTTGCCTGGAGGCTACAGGCATTATGTGTTGGCCAAATTAGCTGATGTGACGCGAGTCCATTCTGTTCCATTTGCTCCCTTTCTTTCTCGGGTTACAGATGTCGACTCGGTTTATTGCCAGCCATAATTAACCTACAAGCTAGGGAAATCCTGTTTATTGCCTGGATGTCGACCATCAGGTAGTCAGCCAAATATATTATGCACCAGGGGCATTTGAATGCTACCACACATTGTCATGATCAGCATGAAGCAGTTTGCGCCCTGGTGTGAATCGAGGTCTGTTAAGCCTAGACAGTTAGTAAGCATATCTGGGGGTTTTTCTTTATTAAAACTAAGTATGGAGATGGGTTGTGGGCTAATGGGGTTCTTACAATATAGGAAGACTATACAAGCTCGAAATCATGGACAAGAACACTCCCAGCCTCTCTAGGCTCTAAGATGGACACCACCAACTCCAGCCCCTGACGACGTTACTTCTCGACAATAGCGATACCAATCGTGGAACAACCCCCTTTATTTCTCGAAATAGGAGGGGGGAAGCGCTGTCTCCGTCCGAGCCCGAGCATGCTCTGCCAACAGACTTTAAGACTTCGAAATACTACAGCCCTCTATACCAGAAGTCATGTTATACGAATTCAGAATACCTTCGTCTGTGTTACGGTCCCAGCGAATGCTACAGAGCCTGATCTACAAGAATTTGAATTCCGACGATAGTTTACTATCAAGAGACCATCCCATACAAGGAGCGTTCAATATTGAGTTTGTCACGAGGCCGACCATAGGATAGGGGAAAGACAACGTTGTTGCGCGAGGAACTCTAAACTAACCGGCCGAAGGCCGGGTATACATACAAGACACTTCTTTGTCATAAGTATCCATTACGAGATCCGAAGTATCCGAATCCTGACAGAGTTCCCAAGCTGGACGTTTCTATAGCTAAGTTTCCTGCAATGCTCGAATAGGTAGAAACCTATAATACTTAGAAGGGTGCTAAATACATTAATATTATACCTGAAGAGCTTTAGTACCGCCGTCCTATTCTAGATTTGGGACCATGTATGCCGCTCGTAGCGGCGGCATTGCCGGCCTAAAGGGGAATAAAGAAGCAAAAAGAAACAAGAGAGACGACATAGACAGAGATATATAACTTGACACTCTTTTATAGCGCAAACCGTTGGGTGTGGCTGTCTACGTTAGCTCCATACACAATATCTTATTACCTGATGATACCAAATCAAGACCTTGTTAAGATGCCACACGGGCCACATACTATACGGCTGTTCAACGATTAACGTCGATTTCCTTACCTAACAACTACCTATCCAGGCCTAGGATGATGAGGTTTGCAGTGCTGAATTTGGGACGAAACTGCGGTACAATGGCTTAGCAATTTGAGTGCTGACATGCCCCAGTGTTTAGGGGCAGCCAATAGAGATAGCGAGTCTCAAGGCCCATCGCAGCTTAGAGAACAAAACGGGCAATTCCAGTTGCTGTTCTCCCCCTATAACTTAGGATAATAACAATAGTCGATATGTATATCATTTCCAGAGACCAAAAATAAGTTTCGGATGTTCGAATTTACACCTAAATGTGAGTTAGGCTCGGTATATCCGTAGAATACCTCGCGACAGCTTACGTCAGTCTGTCCAGGTGGTTTGTCACCATCGACCGTTGCAGGACCATGCTGCGAGGCGTACTAAGTTGGACATCTGGAAAACTAATAGCGAGGCAGATCTCATTACCGATAAGGCATTTCGGTACTAAACTTCTGCTAATGAGCCTTAGACCCCTGGGGACAGACAGGGGAGAGATTTCTCAGCACAGCCCTAGCGAGGCAGGCAGCTAATTGAACACTATATAAGCACGTGGAAAGCCCACGTTCCCTTTCCTCTAAGACCAACAATAGACTCAAAACTAGTACAAAGCCTGTCAACCAATTCGGAAGATATGTTGTTCCTCTACTTATTCCTCACTTTCCTGGTCTCTCTCGTTCCGGCCCAGCCGGTCCAAGGCGAAGCAGCACCGGCCGAGCTGGTTGCTCGAAAGGCACCTCTCGTCGATTTCAACGCTGCACGCCGCGATGATCCCAAGAAACTCGGTACTCTCAACCTAGAAAAAGGCAAGGGTGACAAGCCCAAGAGCAACACTCCTGACTTGTACGTGAAATTAGATGAGGACTTCAAGGGGGTAAACGGCGCCGCACGCTTCCACCATCGGGCAGGCTACCGCAGGTAAAAAGACCACTCCTCACTGTATGCATTCGAACAATTGACACTGACGGAAACTTCTCGGTAGAGCTGAATACCATTCGTTGAAGGGCCAGACCAAGGCGGGAACGACCTACTTCATCACGTACAAATTCGCGCTTGGTGTAAGTTATAGCTCTGCTTCTCTTCCCTTGAGCCACAGTAAGACGTAACGACGATAACTGACACGCCATGGCACGCTCTGTAGGAACTACCCGACGGCCTCATCGTGTTCCAATGGAAAGAATACAAGGCCAACAACGCCAAAGACGGGGGCGCCAACATCCCGCTGGCTCTCGAGGTCCGCAACAACAAGCTCGCCTTCTCGCACACCTTCAAGTGGGGCGAGGGCCGCAAGGTGCAGTGGTCCCAAGACATCAAGGCGAAGACCGAGTACAAGGTCGGCTTGGAGATTTCGGCCAAGGCGAAGGGCGGCTACGCGAAGCTCTGGCTCAACGGAAAACCTGTCACTTTTGATACTACCAAGTCCCAGACCCTGACTGGAAACATGTACCCCGGCCAGAGCGACCCCAAGTTCGGGATATACGGGGGCGAGACCGTCACGGTTGACAGTTACGTCTACCAGGTCCAGATTGGCACGAGCAAGAATGATGTCGACCAGAGCTATTTTGGTAACTGAAGTGTCGGCTGAATGTTATTTCCTCTCCGCCTTGGGATTGATTGAAGTATAGAGTGGGATGTGCCTACCATCAGCCCTATGGTCAAGATATCGGGGCAGCTCCAGGTCGAGCCTCCCAGCAAAGCCCAACTTTCAATGAAACGTTCTATCATCTTTATCTAGACATTTATAAGTTAGAATCTGTTTAGCTTCAGTCAGCTGCCAATTTATCATATTCTCTCCTACCAAAGCATTTATATTGCTCAGCATATCCTGAGCTGCGGTTCTCTTCGCACATGAATGAGAAAGCAACGCCGCGTAACACATTCTTATTGCAATCGACCTGAGCCGGGTCATCTTATAGATCCGCAGTGTCCAATATGGTATGCGAGAGACTGAAACCCCGACAGACGACGGAGTTTACCAGGTACCTAGCTAGGCTCCCGACAAGCCACAAGCTCCCTGACTTACTAGGCAGCAGGTCGGTTGCAGGTTATTCGAGGAGATCCATGCAGCTACTCGACACTAGTCCGCGTCAAGCCTTCCGTATTACTCAGCTCGACCCTCCGATTCCGACCCCGGATCGCGATCCTTGGCAGGCTTCGGACCATCCACGCCCTTACGACGTGTAAAATGCGCCTCGGATGGAATATCCTCCCTAGCTTGGTATTATTTATATCTTCCGTATGCCTAGTTGCATATTTACCTACCCGTTCATTTCCTCTGAAAACAATTCGGAGCCCTCCTCTTGGGTGCTTAGCAACCATGTCGGCTCAAGACCCGGATAGCTGCAGGCCACCAACCCGCTTCGCCGTAGCGCTCTTCCCGGGCTTCCAGGCGCTGGATGTATTCGGACCTCTCGATATCCTGAATATGCTATCCAAGCAGACGCCTCTATCCCTGTACATTCTCTCCCCAACACTGGACCCTGTATCAACTAAGACCTCGATCACGGGACACAGCGTGGGTCAAGCCGTAGCCGCGACTCACACATACGCAGACAGACCCAACGACATCGAGGTGCTGCTCTTGCCGGGTGGCAGTGGTACCCGGGATCCGGAGAACATACAGGAGGTCGTCGACTTTGTCCGCGGCGCATACCCACGTCTGCGGTATTTACTCACGGTATGCACGGGCAGCGCCGTAGCAGCCAAGTCCGGTGTCCTGGACGGGAGGCGCGCGACTTCGAATAAGCGGGCGTGGACATGGGTGAGCTGTTCCCTCCCCTTTCCTTTCCTCCCCTGGTATCAAGATAACTAACGACAAACGAAATAAAAGGCCACATCCCAAGGTCCGAACGTGACCTGGGTCCGTCGCGCGCGCTGGGTGACAGACGGCAACATCTGGACGTCGTCGGGGATCTCGGCCGGCATCGACATGATGTACGCCTTCGTAGCCGACCAGTGGGGCGAGGACGTCGCGCAGACCTTGGCCGATGCGTCCGAGTATGTGCGCAACACGGATCCGCACGTCGATCCGTTTGCCGTGGGTGAGGCGAATGGAGTCGCGAAGTAGATTTTCTCTCTTCCTTTTTAGAGCGGAAAAAAAAAAAAAAAGAAAAGAAAAAGAAAAAGGGAAACGGGGGAGGGGAGGGAGTAGATACCCGTTTCTGTGTCAATGATTCGAAGGGGTTTGGCAAAATGGGTGCAAGAGCTGATGAGTGAGTCGGCGAGAGAGGCGTTATTCGGGGCGAGTATGATACCACGAAGTAGCTACTAGAGTGCCTACCTAGACGGTCAACATCGTTGATTTCGTCATTTTTAAGCCACCACCTCGGTTATCTTTGGTTGGACACGAGATCGTAAGTATGCTTCGGCGTACTACCCACGACTACGTACCTCCTATTATGGTGTTTAATTCTCCCAAAACTGAACCTGTATCTTCCTTTCTTTTCTCGGCCACAGACTTCCGGCGGGGGAAAGCAAAATATTATCGTGGAGATAAGGGGAAAGGGGCTTGCGCGTGGCTGGCTGGATGGCTTCGAT